TGGAGATCCTGTCTTCCCGGTGCCTGGAAACTGAATTTCACATGAGATCCTTTGCTTCTTCCTTATATACCTCTCTAGTGCTAGAACTAAAGGCCTGAGCTCTATTTCTCTTTTAGACTGATTCACTCTCATGTAACCCTGAACTCACAGAGATCAGTCTGCCTCTGCCTCTTGAGTCCTGGGATTAAAGGTGTGTGCTACCACTTCTTGGCATCTGCGGCTACGGCTAGCGTTGCATTCTGACCCCTATGCAAGCTTTATTAAATAATAAACAATATATCACCACAAATAACAAAGCGGGAAAGCAAATTTTAAATAGAAATGTGTGTGCGGTATAAAGTATTTGATTCTAAGTATCTTGTGTGAGTAAACTTCTGCTGGTGCTTTGCTTTGGCTGATCCTTCTCCTCAGACCAGAATCATCCTGCCTCCCATGCCCCGTTATAGTCCTACAGGACCCACATTTTCTCACTTAGATGTCTTTGTTCCTCAAGGTCTATGGTTGTGCTTTTGACAGGGAAACTCCATTAAACATTTGTGACTGTTTTATGAATCTCACTATGGTTTACTCCATGCCCATTAAACCATATCCACACTTCTTTTTGAGATGGAATGTGAGAATGGGATGGAATGGGTATGTTAGATAGCGGTGGCACAATGCCCTCATTTTTTTTTTATCAGTATCAGCACCAACAAATCACAGATAAACCTTTGCTGATAAACAGCTCTTTCTGGGTTTGATCTTTATGCTAGGGCTGCATTTTACCTGCATTGTCTGAGGCTATTCTCTTCCTTCCTTCTTTTTCTTCCTCTGAGAGAGAGAGACAGAGAGAGAGAGACAGAGAGAGAGACAGAGAGAGAGAGAGAGAGAGAGAGAGAGAGAGAGAGAGAGAGAGAGGAGTGTGTGTGTGTGTGTGTGTGTGTGTGTGTGTGTGGTGGTTAATCTTAGTAAGCTGATGGGATTTATAGTCAATTGGAGACAGGCATCTGGATATGTTTGGGAGGGATTTTCTTGATTAGGTTAGCTGAGGTACAAAGATTCGTCTTAACTATGAGCCCAAAAGGAGAAAGTGAGTTGAGCACTGGCACTCATTTCCCTGTGTTCCTTGACTGCATTTGCAACATGGTCAACTGTCTCAAGCTCTTGTTGTTACGACTTTTCCATCACAATGTCGTGTACCCTGGAACTGGGTGCCAAAAAAAACCTTCCTTCTGTTAGTGACTCCTCAGTGCATTTGTCACAACAAAGCAAGTAACTAATACATAAAACTGGTACCAGAGCCGGGTGTTGGTGGCGCACGCCTTTAATCCCAGCACTCGGGAGGCAGAGGCAGGCGGATCTCTGTGAGTTCGAGGCCAGCCTGGTCTACAGAGTGAGTTCCAGGACAGCCTCCAAAACAATACAGAGAAACCCTGTCTCGAAAAACCAAAGAAACAAAACAAACAAACAAACAAAAAAACTGGTACCAGAAATGGGGTCGGTAGACATAAAAATGTGCAGATTACAAAATAGAAAGTTCAAGTAAGTTTGATGTTGCTGCAAAGATGGGTGCTGGAAAAGGGTTGGAACTGTTAATTTCAATTGAAAGGAGTGAGCCTGAACTCATATCATTACTGAACGGGTTCCCTGCTCCTCAAAGCCAACAGCCCAAGGATGTGTTTTCCCTGAGTCATCACATAGAAGCTGTCACAACTGCAGTCCACTGCTTGAAGGCCCTGTTTGGCAACATCATCTATGTGGTAGTAGTTTTGACAGAATGAAAGATGATGTTAGGGGTATCATAGAATCTTGCACTACACTTCCAAAGAGCCACCGAGGCCAGGTAATATGTGACAGAGTTGAAATTCCTGTAGAGTCCTGGAGAGGCCACTCATTACATGAAACTGTGAAAATAAAGCCAGAGTAGCAATGGAGACCTGGAAATTGCAGGATTTTGGAGATGCCAGAACCATGGGACATCCACCAAAGAAAACTGTATGTGGGTCAGCAGGAAGGCTCACTGGGGTTAATGAACTTGGAGCTAAGCTGGCAACTTGAGTTGTTCCCCCAGAACCCACATGGCAGAAGGAGAGAACCAACTCCTGAAAGTTGTCCTCTGTCTTTCACTTGGATTCTGGGACATGTGCATGCTCCTTCAATAAATAAAGTTGAGGGGGTTCCTTGTAGATGTCACAGCAGGCAGGAAAACAAACTGCAAAGAGGTGAGAATGAATACAAATTGCTCAGATTTACTTCATCAATCTGAATCAAATTTCAGGTGGTCCGGTGTTAGGCGGCTCATTGCCAGCACGTTTAAAACGCAGTACAATTTGGGAAAAGTTTCCCAGGAAACAATCATTTCAATCCAGGTGCACAAAAAAGTTTAAGGTATGACTACATAGAAATTCCTTTGCAAAGTACATGTGACCACTAAAGTGAGTTCGGTAGACAAAAAGGCCTAGAATCTGACGTGGTCTCTGACAGACAGCACAGCGTTCAGCAGGCTATAAAGTACCTATGACATTCCCTTCTTAAGGATGGGTTCTATTAACTGGGAGCTAAAGATAAAGATATAGGGACCAGCTGGGCATTGGTGGCACATGCCTTTAATCCCAGCACTCGGGAGGCTGAGGCAGGTAGATCTCTGTGAGTTCGAGGCCACCCTGGTCTACAGAGCTAGTTACAGGACAGCTTCCAAAACAATACAGAGAAACCCTGTCTGAGAAAACAAAACAAAACAAAACAAACAAACAAACAAACAAACAAAAAAAGACATAGGGACGTAGAGTCTGGCATAAACATTTTGTGTGGAGTCTGCCTTCACAGGCGGCAAACAGGTCACCAGGTCATTAAAAATATCCACTTTCAGCTTTTTCGATGGAAAAACAGGCATTTTTATCTCCTCCATTGAGGAGAGGTCCCTACATGTTTACCATTCCTGGTTTCTCCAGACATCTGTGGGTGCAAAGACCTTTGTGCCCCCAATATAAAGTTAAAAAAGAAAGAAAATAAAGCTGTATGGATGGAGTGGAGTTTTCTGCAAAGAGGTGTGCTCTGCTTGCTGCAGAGCTGGAGGGGCAGGGCTGCCTAAGCTCCTGGAGTTCAGATGAATCCATGAAGATCCCCAGATCCAGACATGGAGCTTCATGACTTGGTGTTTGCCCTGCTGAGTTTTAGATGTTTCTCCTTGCTGAACCCCTATTCTTCTATTGTTCAACAGCAATGTTTGGGGCTGGAGAGATGACTCAGTGGTTTACAGCATCAACTGCTTTTTCAGACGATCCTGGTTCAATTCCCAGCACCCACATGGCAGCTCACAACTGTCTGGGACTACAAGCACTGACACCCTTACAAGACATACATGCAGGTAAAACATCAATGGAATAAAAAATAAATAAATTTGGGGCTGGAGAGATGGATCTAGTTAAGAGCACTGACAGCTCTTCCAGAGGTCCTGAGTTCAACTCAAGTACCCACATGGCAGCTCACAATTGTCTGTAACTCCAATTCCAGCATACCCAACACCCTCACATAATCATACCTGCAGGCAAAACACCAATGCACATAAAATAAAAGCAAATAAATTATTAAAAATAGTAATGTTTATTAGCCGGGCGTTGGTGGCGCACGCCTTTAATCCCAGCACTCGGGAGGCAGAGGCAGTCGGATCTCTGTGAGTTCGAGGCCAGCCTGGTCTACAGAGCGAGTTCCAGGACAGCCTCCAAAGCTACACAGGGAAACCCTGTCTCGAAAAACCAAAAAAAAAATACTAATGTTTATTTTGTGACACTGTATATTAGAAATATGCAACTCAAAATTTTAAAATAGTGTGTGTGTGTGAGTGTGTGTGTGAGTGTGTGTGTGAGTGTGTGTGTGAGTGTGTGTGGTGTGTGTGAGTGTGTGTGTGTGTGTGGTGTGTGTGTGCGTGCATGTGTGTGTGCGTGCGTGCGTGTGTGAGTGTGTGTGTGAGTGTGTGTGTGGTGTGTGTGTGCGTGCGTGTGTGCGTGTGAGAGTGTGTGTGTGCGTGTGTGTGTGTGCGTGTGAGAGTGTGTGTGTGTGTGCTCACGTGCATATGGCACACACACGCATGTACACTGCAGGTTATCTGGCCTCCTGTCTCTGTTTCCCGTCTTGTAGGAATTCTGGTATTACAAATGTGTCCAGCTTTACATGAATTCTGGAGATTTGAACTCGGGTCTTCATGCTCCTGCAGCAAGAGATTTACCCCCTGAGCTACTTCTCCAGCCTCTGGTTTTATCTCAACTAGCTCCATCAGCAACCATCCAATTTCCAAATAAGGAGCCATTCTGAGTGTTCTTATTTCAAATATAATGAATAACAAATAGAGGCAAATCCGTATTACATGGCTAGATGCTTCAAAACCAAAAGTCTATCAGCCATATTGACCAAATCTTGGATAGTCGTAAAGAGTGTGCATATAGAAAAAATACTATGCAGCAGTCAGAATAAAGAACAGCTTCACAAATCATAAACATATCTCAAAAACAATATTGAATTAAAAAACAGTTCAATTTTTCCAGACAAAAATTTGTATCATATTATGGTTTCCATTACTATTATGTGGAATGATACATAATTGTATAGCAGTAGCTTTGATTAATAAACGCTTAAGTATTATGTTCTCCTAGCATCCATCTTTTTAAGAAGGCCATTTGTGGTTACATACGTCTCTGGAGACTGAGAAAGGTGGATCTCTGTGAGTTCGAGGCCATTCTGGTCTACAGAGTGAGTTTTAGGGCAGCCAGTGCTACACAGAGAAACCTTGTCTCGAAAAATCAAAAAGCAAAACAAAACAATACAGAACAGGGCATATACAGCGCCATGTAACACTCCTGATATTCTTTTTCAAATTCCTCCTCCCACTTTTTCATGGCTCAACCTCCGTCTCTTTAAGAATTCAGCCATATATGAAGCGAGAATGCTGGGACGGCCACTTGGCTCCAGGTCTAGGGCATGATGGGAAAAGAGGGCGGGAATTACGGCTGGGAACGGCCAATTACCTTAAGTCTAGGGCGTAATCAGGGGTGCGCACGCGCAGTTGGCCAGACGTTGCGTTGCAGTGGCTCGGGCGATTCCAGGAAAAGAATTTGTTGTCTTCACGGAGGCTCTTGAATGCTGTTGTGCATTCTCAGTCTCGCGCCCCTTCGGAGGCAGCTAGGTGACTGGAGGTGGGTGTATGACGGGGCTACAGGAGACCTCTCCGACTTCTGGATTTGTGGGCGGGACACTGCATCACGTGTCCAAATGGGGCGTGACAGCCCACGTGACCAGACGCCGCAAGTGGAGCTGGGTAATCTTGTGTGACTGGGCCGGGCACCTTCAGGTGTGGGCGGAGCGGCAGCTCGTCACGTGACGCGGCGGCGTTGTTGGGGCTCCGGGCGGTGGTGTTGGGGCCCCCCGGGGCTGCCCGGCGCTGCAGGCTCGCGCACTCTCTTGGAGACCGAGTTCCTTCGCTGGCTGTTGGGCACAGACTGGGGTATTCTGGTTGCGAACGGGAACGTCGGAGAGCTTGCGACAATCGGAGGAGGCAAACACTTGTATATTGTTACAATAGTGGCAAGTGGTGGTAAGCTCTCGGTGTCGGCTTCGCAACAGGCTTCTCTAAATCCGTTGTTTCTATGTCTGACTTGAATTGATGAAGGGCCTTTAGCGAGGGTTTCTTTTTCATTTTAAGCTTTCGTTTGTACATTGGGGAATCTGAAGAACAACCGGAAGGTTGTTTATGGCGGCGATTCTCAGATATTTACATTACTATTTATAACAGTAGCAAAATTACAGTTATGATATAGAAAAATAAATTTTTGTTTGGGGGGGTTCCCATAACTCGAGGAATAAAGCGTTGAGCATTAGGAAGGTTGAAAACCACTAGTTTATAGGAAGACAGGCCTGACCTCCATGGAGGCTCCAGAACGCCCAGTTGGTGCACTTACAAACGGGAACTTAGTGTTCACTTGTGAAGACATTTTAGGCTCCGAACTAGCTTTAGAACAAGAAAAGGGCTCTTCATTCCAACGCAGGCCGAGTAAGAGGAAGATGAGGCAATTGGGTCCCTTTGAGGAATCAAAGCCGACTTAGCTCTCAAGCCAATGCCCATGCAGTCGGGAATTGTACTGAGACAGCTCTCCAAGAGCTTGGTGGCTTCCTCCCCTGGCTCATTTGGCCAGTCTACAGCTCAACAACCTTCAGCATAGTAAAGACCATAATGCTTGTCTAAGACACTAGGGAGGTGAGAACTTTGACGATAGACTTTTCCCGTCGGAAGGTAGCTAACCCAGGAGTAGAGAGAACAGTCCAGAAAGGTTAGTGCTCAAATGCTTGACCCTGAACCTATTAACGAACACACTAGTATGAAGGAAAACAAAATCCGAGTACCAGTCTTTTATGTTTTAGGAGTCTAGCTACCCATCGAAAAGAAACCTTCGTTTTAAATGGGAGAAGAGCCCTGAATAAACGGGATGAAAGAGCCTTTGGATGGTGGATGTGACAAAGCCATGGCACAGCAAGGGCTTCTGGACACAATTAAAGAGGAGCCCGACAATGCCCAAGTAAGCATTTTCTCCTGACTTCCAAGAGCCTGAAAAGCATTATTACCACACGGTTTCTCTGTAGCTTTGGAGGCTGTCCTGGAACTCGCTCTGTAGACCAGGCCTATCTTGAGCTCACAGAGATCTGCCTGCCTCTGCCTTCCAAGTGCTGGGAGCAAAGACGTGGGCTACCACCGCCTGGATAAAAATTATTATTATTATTATTATTATTGTCTGGAGAATCGAAAGTGGTAGCCAACAGCTTCTGGTTTATAAGTTGATATAACCCATTGATTTTTCTTGTTTTATCCATTAGATTAGTGCTGTGAAGGCTGAAGGGATATATAGTTAAGTTGTAGAGTACATTCCTAGCACTGTGAGATTCTGTATTCAATTCCCAGTGCTGGTCCAAAATGAATAGATGTATGTTATGTTTTGAATGTACCCTCCAAATTTCATTGATTGGAAACGTAATTCCTTATGCAGTGTTACTGGGGGTGATGATGCTATGTGCATATTCTGTCATTACCAGGAGGGAGTTTGTTGTAAAAGCCAATTGAGCTCCTCTTTGCTTGCTGTCTTGTTCTTTCTTGGGCACACTCCCACCCTTTGACACATTGTAATGTGACTGAAAGACTTGACTAAATGCATCCCCTTGTATCTTGGCATTCACAGCCTCCAGAACTGTGAAAAAATTCTTTTCCTTGCAAATGTGGTTTTTCTTATATTTTTGGTTTTGAGCTTTTAACTACTGAAACATCTCTCCAGCGCCGCATGATTTTTCTTAAAGCAATACAAAAACAGCTAAGATAATGGGTTAATCAGGTTTTTGATGTTTTGAATGAGAAAAGGTCATGGTAAATGTGATACTTGTTTTTTTGTTTGTTTGTTTTTTGTTTTGTTTTGTTTTGTTTTGTTTTGAGACAGGGTTTCTCTGTCCTGGAACTAGTTCTTGTAGACCATGCTGGTCTTGAACTCACAGAGTTCTGCCTGCCTCCTGCTTCCTAACTGCTGGGGGCCCGTGATACTTATTTTTGTTAAAGAAACAAATATGTAAATGGTAATGATGAGCAACACTAATAGATGCATAATGTGTAATATGTATCATGTGATAGCTTAAGAGGTGCCCATTATCACTCTCACATATATAATACTCTTATTTTACACGTGAGGATGCCGGAGTTCAAAAAAGCCAAGCAGTGTGTATGAATCAGTTAGTAAACATTAGATAGGATTCAAACCCAGATAGTAAGATTTCAGAGAACCTGCTGCTCCATGTGTAGCTTGAGTTGAGAAGATTATGCAGAATAGAACCTTGTTATGAATTTTGATTTTTATTTTAAGAGCAACAGGAGACATAGGGTTAGTTTTTATTTTATTTTTATTTATTGATTTTTTGAGACAGTCTCATCTAATCCAGACTGTCTTCTGATTTGCTGTGTGGCTGAGGGTGATCTTTAACTTCTGATCCTCCTGTTTCTGCTTCTCAAATATGTGTGTGCGTGTGTACTGCCATGCCAGGTTTTCATTGTAGAGACAGTAACAGGAAACAGATTTGCATTTGGAAAGATCATTGTGACTGTCCCTTAAAGACATATTAGAAACAAATATAATTTGTGGAGAGTGAGTTATTTTGCCAAGAATTTTTTTTACCTTCTTTAGCATGTTTGTTTTATGCTCTTTAGTTACTGACCTTATTGTAGAGACAAAGCAGTAGTATTTAAATTTGATGAAAATTAATAAATTAAAGGGAGAGAAGGTGAGGTGTCTCACACCTTTAATTCCAGCACTTGGGAGGCAGAGGTAAGTGTATCTCTGTGAGTTCGAAGTCAGCTTAGTCTACAGAGTGAGTTCCAGGACAGCCAGGACTGTCACACAGAGAAACCTTGTTTGGAAAAACCAAAACCAACCAACCAAAAAAAAAAAAAAAAAAAGATTTAAGTTCTCACACACCTCACAGCAGGATGGTTGCAGCACAGGAGTGCCAGATAGGTTTTACCTTGCTCATTAATTGCATGCCTTCTTGCTCTACTAGTGAGCTGTGAAGGTTCAAAGGTGGTGTTTGCAGAGTGCTGAGTGAGTGGGGGCCTCCAGTGTACCTACTTCTCTTTTCAGTATGCTTACTTTCCCTTGGGAAATTGTTCCTCTTGCCTTATCCAGTGTAACCATTTGTTTGCCAAGTTTTGTGGATTCTGCTTTTTAAATGTATTTTGAGTCTCTTTGATTTCCCTTTTCATTATTTTTCATGTGAACTTGTTTGCATCTTGTCCTTCTTTTATTCTTGTAGTCCTGTAGTATCCCCCATCCTCAGTGCTGGGGCTTGAGCCCAGGGCCTAGCACATTTTACAAGGTACTCAACCGTCTTCTGCCAGGTTCCTTCTATATGGTAAATCACAAACATTTGAGTGTGATATCCAGACTGTTCATGTTAATTTTTTGTTTCCCTTTTGAGTGCTGTTGGTCATCTTTCCCACTTCTAATTTGTGCTCCTATAAGCTATTTGCAGTTCACCAAAAGATGAAAATTAAAATTTTGTGTGTTTGTTTTAGGTAATCCAAATTAGTTTTGAACTCACTAGGAGTTGAGGACACCTTTGATCCTCCTTCCTCTACTTCTCAAGTACCGGGATTAAAGACATGTGCCACCACACCCAGCTATAATAGATATATTTTGTTCAGTTTTTTTTCCCCCAAGATAGGGTTTCTCTGTGTAGTTTGTAGACCAGGCTGGCCTTGAACTCACAGAGATCAGCTTTCCTTTGCCTCTTGAGTGCTGGGATTAAAGGTTTGCATACCACCACCTGGCTTGCCTCTTTTTTTTTTTTTTTTAATAGGGTTTCACTATGTATAGTCCTGGTTGGCCTGGAACTCTCTGTATAGACCAGGCTGGCTTAGAAAACTCAGAGATCTACCTACCTCTGCCTCTGGAGTGCCAGAATTAAAGTTCAAATTTTTCTTTTATTTTAATATTATTTTTATGTATTTAATTTTGGATTTTTTTTTTTTTTGGAACTCATTCTGTAGACCAGGTTGGCCTTGAACTCACAGAGATCCACCCACCTCTGCTTCCTGAGTGCTGGGATTAAAGGCCTTTGCTACCACCACCACCATTTAATTTTGAATTTTAATACTGTTTTTAATTGTGTGTGTGTGTGTGTCTGGAGATAAGAGGGGATCAGATCCCTGGCTGGAGTTTCAGGTGGTTGTGAGCTGACTGACATGGGTCCTGGAGCTGAATTAGGTTGTCTGGAAGAGTAGATAAGGTGCTGGAAAACTAGCCTAGGACTTTACATCCTGATCCCAGGCAGCAGGTAGTTTTTGACAGTACTGAACTGGTTACTGCTTGCTTCCTGGTAAGTGTATGGCATTGTGTTATTTCCTGGTGGGAAAGTGGAAGGTCAAGTAAATGTGTAAGGAACAAACAAAACAGAAGGGATAGCCCCACTCTCAGTAACTAGTCCAGTACTATAAACCAGTCCGTCTTAATAACTAATTGCCTTCAAGGATGGGAGTCACATTTCTATTTTTCTTTTAACTAACCCTGCAATCCATAGTGGTGACCTGCCCATATGACACACTGATGC